TTGGCTGTCCGTCTGAGCACTTTCAGCCACTCCAGGAAGCGAGTCCCTGCTCTTGGCCACTGTGTGGCTGGGAGGAAGAAGCGTGACTCTAGGCTGCAGCTCGGGCTCCCACCGCCGATTGGCTGAGGCAGGGACCAGATGACGGCCTCAGAACCCTATGGTAGCCATGGCAACCAGCCCCTTTAGATACCGCCACCCCCAAGCCACTCCTGACAGCTGAGGGAGCAGGCAGCGCCTCTGATGGGTCCACGCCAGGGTCCCCTCAGAGGGTCAGCTCAGGCATGGTGGGATGGTGGCTGTTCCCGCACTAGCTGTTATGTGCTTGCATGTGTGTGTGTGTGTGTTTTTCATGAGTGTCCAGTGCAAAGGGTCCCGCTCGGGACATGTCCCAGGCTGCTCCATACCCTGTCTGACCCCTCAGTGGAGGCACGAACAGTGTCCTTACAGACCCTGCTAAGAGGAGGGCTTCAGGTTAGGCTTGCCCCAGGGGCTGAAGGCCAGGCCCAGTCACAAGAGAAAATAATGGGTGAGAGCAATAGGAGGAAGAGGAGAAGGAACTGCCCAACCCCAGGTGGACAGAGCCAAGCTTTTGATCCACCTCAAACCCCAAAGGGCCTGCCAGCTGTATCTCTGACTGCCAACCTCTCCTCTGTTCTCTGATTAATCCGTTGAACACACAATTTCACAGTGCCCTCTCAGCCTTCAAAGGCCCTGGCACAGCTCTGCTGCCTACAGATCTTATGCCTCTACCTGTAGGACTCTGGGACTTGGGCCACGCTAAGCAGACACTCTCCGACCCTGCAGAAGTTGGCCACACACCTGTGACCTTGTACCTGCTCTTCCCTTGACCTGCACCCCAGGCCCTTTGGTGAAGCCTTCCCAGACGTCTCAAGACTAGGACTTCTCAGAAAGGTCACAGCATCACTCCTGGGTGCTGCAGAGCAGAGAGCAATTCACACTTCATCTCTGTGACAGCCCCTGGCCTGTCCCAATGTTCCTGGGATGAGCGCCACCTGGTCACGGTCTCCAAGAAGGCCACCTGGAAGCCCAGCTTTCTGGCCCAGCCCAGCCCATACCTGCTGAACACAGGGCTGCCAGGAGTAGGCGTAAGCCTCAAGCCCCTTGAAGAGGCCAGGACTAAGGCAGGTCTCTGGGGCCCAAGAGGCTGCTGAAGCCACTGCCAAGGCCAGAAGACCCAGGAGCTAGGGGAGCCTAGAACACAGATCAACAAGGGTCCTTCTTCAGGGAAGGCCAGGCTGGATCCAGAGCCCCAGAGCAAAGAGGCTGCTTAGGTAGCCCCCTGAACTTGCTTACACTTCACACTGCCTCCACCCTAAGCTACCTGGTCACATGACTGAGCCTCCAACTTTAAGGGCCTCCCCTGCAGGATAGGATGCCACCAGCGGATAGCACTTACCCAGGGGCAAAGCCTGGGTCACCTGATGGTGAGAAAGGGCCCTGGACCTGCAGCTCCAACTTGGGAGTGAGAATAGAATGCTGATAAGGGCCGGGACCGGTTTGGCTCAATGGATAGAGCGTGGGCTTGGGGACTGAAGGGTCCCGGGTTCGATTCCGGTCAAGGGCATGTACCTTGGTTGCGGGCATATCCCCAGTAGGGGGTGTGCAAGAGGCAGCTGATCGATGACTCTCTCTCATTGATGTTTCTAACTCTGTATCTCTCTTCCTTCCTCTCTGTGAAAAATCAATAAAATATATTTAAAAAAAAAAGAATGCTGGTAAGGGCTCTGATTTGCTCTGATTTGCTGTGGCAGAATGCTGGACAGCACAGGGTTAAGGCTAAGGGAGTTCATCTGGCATAGAGCTCCAGCTTGGAGGCAGTTGGTGGAGGAGGGATTTGAAGGGAGTCTGGAGCCGGGAGAAGGTTCAAAGGGGTGGCAATGGATATTGAGGACGAAGTTCAAACACAGGCTTAGGGAAGGGCAGACGGTGCATAAGGGGTGCATAAGGGTGGGCTTCACAATGGCTCCTCTGAGCTCCCAGGGCCTAGGACAGGGACAAAGGTGCCCAGGCCTCATCTGCTCTCTCCACATGCTCCACCATGCAGCCAGTGTACACCAGAGCAGGACTCGAGCGACACCCTCAGGATGAAGAGAGCTACAGAGCCCTAGCCTGGGCTGCACCCTTCCTGGTGCTTGAGACAGACACCAGAATGAGACAGTGGACATAACATGGTCTTGACGGCCACTCTACTGCCCCAGTCCCAAGGAACCCCTTCCCAGTCCATAGCTAATGATGTTCTACCCTGGGTCCACAGCCCAACCATGGCCTTGACACTGAAGCTGACTGGTTGGGCTGTTGTCCTGTAAACACATGGGGATCAAGAGGGCTCCTAGACAGCTGAGGGTCTGACCCAGGCCAGCACAGGCTAAGTCTGGCTTCTGCAGGTTTGACCTTGGTCAGTACAACTGACCCAATTCAGGGACTTGAGGTGCTGCAGGATCTCATGGAGAGGGAATTGGAGGCTCTCAGAAGGACACACACCAGAATGACCAGGGCCTGGAGGACTATATGGGGGCAGGGACATGTGGCTAATGGGCTCCAATGGCTCAGCTCCTGGTTCCATATGACATATGAGCACATATAGTCCACATGTCCCTCCCCACCTCCACCTCCTAAAAGATGGAACAGTATAATGGATCCAGTCTGCCAGTGGCCTGTCCCAGAGCTGGGTTATTGTTTTATTTGTGGTGGGGGATGACTGTCAATCACTGAGGGCTTCTTAACCTTTGCTGAGTCAAGGGTATTTGTGAGAATTTGAGGAAACAAATGGATGCTGCCTCCCTCCAGGAGAGAGCTCATGTTTCAGAGTTCAGGGCCACCTCAATCTAGCCTGTTACAGAGAAATGAGTGACCTGCCAAAGCCATACCGAGCTCCTCCCACTGGCCAGCAGCAGGGGGCAGAGCCAGCCAGGACTTGGGACACACTCCCTTGGTCCACCAGTGCTGACAGGGGAACAGATGCCCACGTTCACCCCTACCTTGTGCCAGCCCCAGGTCCCTTGGTGATTGCAGGAATCTGACACAGGAGCCCCCTTACCTGTGGCCTTCATTGAAGTGGAAAACAGTTTAGTGAGGGGTGACTGAGAACCAAGGTCAATGAAATGGGAACATTAGGTGACAGGCTGAGGGGCTGGAAAGGGATCAGTTTGATTCAATTCAGACCGTGATGTGGACATAAATATGGGGAGGACTGGCCAATCTGGCTTAAGTCAGAGGCTGTAGTTCAGACAACTGGGCTTGGTCATGCTGGTCCCCCAGAGCTGGGACAGGGGCAGACTAGGAATTGTCAGCTTTTGGTAAAATTTTTTAAATATTTAAAACTGTTGCCCAGCCAGCACAGTTCAGTGGTTGAATGTCAACCTATGAACCAGGAGGTCACGGTTCAATTCCTGGTCAGGGCACATGCCTGGGTTGCAGGCTTAATCCCCAGTAGGGGACGTGCAGGAGGCAGCCGACCAATGATTCTCTCTCATCATTGATGTTTTTATCCCTCTCCCCTCCTCCTCTGAAATTCGTTAAAATTACATATTAACAAAAAAACTGTTACACTGGCCGGTTTGGCTCAGTGGATAGAAGGGTCTACAGACTGAAAGGTCCCAAGTTTGATTCTACTCAAGGGTCCACGTGCCCAGATTACAGGCTTGATCCCCAATAGGGGGTATGCAGGAGGCAGCTGATCAATGATTCTCATTGATGTTTCTCTCTCTTTTTCTTTTTTAAAACTATTTTTTTAAAACTATTCATAAATTAGGGGCATTACATGAGAGATCACTGGTGTATATGGGAAGGTTGAGGAAGTGTGTGGGACTAGGACAGTGTACACATGATCTTGGAGACATGCCCCCCAGGCAGGTCCTGACTAATGATGACCTCATGAGCCGTGAAATCTCCAGGGCTCTCCTGCAGCTGTACCCCTGACCAGCCATACCTACTGGCCAACTGCATGCTCTCTCTGGCCTCCGACACCAAGAACACATCCCGGGTGTTGTCACTTCCACATCACCTTTCAGGGGAGCCCAGTATCCCTCAGCCAGTTGTCAAGACCAAGTCAGGGGAACCCTCCTTGTGCTCCCAGGGACGTTAATGGCTCTCAATGCTGGACCTCCAGGTAAGGGTCAGGGAAGAGAGTCATGTCACCCCGAAATTTCAGAGCAGGAAAGGCCTCAGGGTGACTGGCCCAAAATCAAGTGTGGCTTTGCAGGTCCAGGTGGCTATGCTGAGAGCGCTTCTGTGAGAGCCTCTCCCCGCGAGACACTGCCCCTAAATGCCCTCTGAGGGCCCCTGCACCGCTGAGCTGATGCGAGGTGCTCACCACACCAAAGGGCATGCCAGCATGGACAATGGTCACTTCCAGAGCCAGGCCACAGCCTCCTTGCCTCTGCTCTGGAAAATATTCCAAAACAGGCAGGATGTGCACTGCAGAGAGGCAAGCACCATCCTGCTCTATTACGGAACACCTTCGATTTCTCAGGATTCTCTCTCAGAGGAAAGAAAACCCCCAAAACAAATCTTAGTCCCACAGCTCAGCTGGGGATCACCGCCCCTCTCAGCCATGTCCAGGGTCCCTGGGCAGGGGGTAGTGGGGTCAAGGAATATGCAGGAGAACTCCAATCCTCTAAGCAAATCAGCACACACATGGCCCAGCTCAATACTTTACTCGTGCTGACCCCAAATGTGGTGAACCTTCCTCGTCTGGGCCTCCGCTGCAGGCGGAAAAGAGACCTCAGAAGCAGCGAGAAGGCTCCAGGCCGCTAGGGATCCTGGGACCAGAGGCCCATTAGGGCTTCCACACAGCCCACCCCACCCAGAAGCTTCACAGCCAGCACACACAAGAACGGTTCAGTCACTGCCCACAGTGGCTCTCCCATCACCCCAGACCATGTCTACAGTGCCAAAAGGTGGAGGAGCGGGCTGGCCGGAGGACAAGGGACACTGAGCCTGGCATGTGAGTTTGCCAGGGTGGGTCAGTCACTATGTGGTCACTTCCCGCTGGCTCTCTTCTGCATCACGGCCGGCTCAGACAGTGCCTGTTGCTGAAGCCGCTCAATGAGCTCTTCCACGTAGACCTTGAACAGAGGGACGGGCTCCTACAGGGGCAAGACGGGGTCACAGTGAGGCACTTTTGGGAGGACAGAAACCCAGCTGCCTTTGGCCAAACACCAGGAGGAACTAGGAATGAGGGGACTAGGCCTCTCAGGCTTGGCCACAGGGTCGTGAGGGTCCTCAGCCCGCAGTCCAGAGGATAGTGTCCTGTCCATGAGACAGAGAGCCTTCCCTTGGGGATGCAGGAATCAGGCGCCTGCCTCTGGTTTCCCTGCTTGGGGCTTAATGGAAACGGCTAAAACTAAACAGGGGAAACAGAGGCAGCCAGCTGCTTTGCCACAGGTGGGGGCTCTCTGTCCTGGTGGCTACCACAGGCTCTACACCCTCCTAAGGGGCAGACACAAAAGGTCTCAACTGGGAAGACCCTGAGGGATGCTAAGTGGCTACGTAAACCAACAGTGCAAGATTCCAGCTCTTATCATCGAGAGACTTTCTGTCCCTGAACCTATGAAGTGGGCCAGAGGGAGCAGGAGAGGGTCAGAACCTTGAGGGGCGGGAATGTGCCATGTGGAATCCACAAGACTGTGGCTCCAGCTGGGAAGCTGGGCCGAAACAGCTCTTTCCCAAGCCCACATGGTGTGGGCAGCCCCTCATTCAAGGCAGTGCACTTCCTCCCTCCCCATCTGTCTGCTTGGCCGCTGGCACTCACACAAGCTCACCTTCTCCTCCAGAAGCCTCTGCTTCTCCACAGCTTCATCCAGTGTCAGGCCGACCCACTCGGCCTCCTCCTCTGGGATGACAAACTCCTGGGCAGGCAGACAAAAAGCATGTGGTGAGGCCAGGTGGTCAGTCCCTGGGGCCCATGAGGAGCGGAAGTCCAGCCTCAAACCCTCACCTTGTACTTGTCATAGATGGCTGCCCTCCTCTCAGGGTCGTCTGGGTGCAGCTGGGGGTCCCGTCGGGCAAGCCGCAACAGCATCCCTCGCTTCAGGTCCATCCCAAACTTGGAACACAGGTCCTCCTTCGGGGTCTGGCAGGAAGCTATGAATGGGGCCAGGTGCTGCTGCCAGGATCCCACCCACCCGGATACTCCCCAGCAGCTGGCAGTCCCTAGGCCAGAACAGAGGAAGGAAGAGCCAAGAAAAGGAAAAGGGGAGGCTGTGTCCACTTGGGCCCTGGAGAGCAACAGAGATGCCCACAGCAACAAACTTTGGGCTGTCCCAAAGGGGCATAGTCCCATTCACATCTCATTGGTGACCCTCCATCCAGAGACCCGCGTGCCCCAGTGATTGCTGTGACCTAGCCTCCCCTCTCTGACTGACCATCAGACCCCTCTTGCCTTCAGGATGTAGAAGTCAAACCCATAGGCCTCGTCGATGAGGTCCAGGGTGCGCATCGTCACAGTCACAGGGAACTTCTTGTCCAGGATCTCACTATAGAGTTCACGCTGAAACAGCTGTGGCTTCCACACCTTCTTTATCCTCTTTGAGAGCTGAGAAAGCAAGGATCTTCATGAGTATCGCCGCTCCTCCCAACAAAGCAGAGACTCAGAACACAGACCTGGTTGCCCATTTAGAAGTCAGCTTCTACCCAGCCAATGTGGCTCCCCAGACTTTGCCAAGGTTGCTGGTGCGTGTTCCAGACACACTACACAATCATTAACTCCATGTTACATGAGTTATCACATGCCACACCAGGGACCAAGAAGGCAAAGGGGGCTGCTAGCCTGGGAGGCCTCCCCAAGAGGGCTCTGCTAGCAATCCCTCCCTCCAGGTTTACCACCAAAGGCAGCATGTCTCCCAACAGACTTGGGAGACATGCCCTCAGGTGAGTGTCTGTCTTCCAAAATGCGATGAGGAGGTGGTGGTGTCAGAAGTGTCAGAGGCAAACTATGGTGCTTCAAGCTGACAGGTAACTGCAGACATCCCTCCCCCCTCCCCACACAGGCCTCCCCGTCCTTACACCTGATCTTACAACCGCAGGGCCTCTGCATTTACTGTTCCTGATCATACCCTGTGTCAGGATATCCAGTTGGTCTTACAAAGAGCTGTGTTCCCTACAACTGTGCCTTTTCACTCTAGCATGATCCTTGGAGGGAGCTGTCTCACCAGACTGTAAGCTCTCCTGGGACTGGTCGGTCTCCCTTTTGCTCTCCGGATACCTCGGAGCCCGGCCCGGTGTCCAGAGCAGCAAAACCGCGGGCAAGTCCCCCTGAAGCTTGCCCTGCTCACCCACCTTGTGGTTGTTGACATATCTGTGGCCCAGGATCCAGCCCTCGCCGCCCCAGAGCCCCAGCTGGGACTCTGGGGGGTAGTAAAGGGGAATGGGCACGTCCTCCACGCGTTCCCGCTGCCCATTTTTGGGGTTAATCTTGAACTTGACCCCGTGTGGCCTGTAGTGCACGGGAGTGGGCGTCCGCGTCTCCTCCAGTGAGCGAAGGTAGTGCTGGGGCAGGCGGGAGTAGATGCCCTCCCGCAACTTTAGCCGCTTCCATAGAAAGACAGGGAACTTGTGCAAGGGCATCGCGGCCAGCCTGGCAGGGGGCAGAAGACCGCCATCACGACGCAGCCCGGCTAAACCCGGACTCTAGCCCAGCCCTATTCCTACCCCAATCCCGAGCTCAAACCTACCGAGCTAACCCGGCTCCCGACCTCCCCTCTTAGCGAGGGACAACCCGCCAAAACCCAGTACCTTTCCGAGCTCCGCGCCCCGCCGGAACCGGAAGTTGTGCTGCGGTCACGTGCTCCCGGCCCGTCACTGGTTGGCCGCAAAGCCCGTCACTCTATCGCTATCCCGCCCCCTTTTCCGCCTTTAGGGACCGTGAAAAATACCCGCGAAGCCTGAGGCAGCGCTAGGCACCGTCCACAAAGGCCAGTTTCGGCGAGCAACAGCCTGGGGGACAGGACTTGTCAACCCCGGGCCTACCTGCTCTCCTTCCAGAAGCGAAAAAAAAAAGTAAAAACTTTTGCCTTGAAATATAACTGTAGCCCCGGCGGGGCGGCTCAGTTGGTTGGAGCACCATTTCATACACCAAAGGGTTGCGGGTTCGATCCTCTGTCAGGACCCATAGGAGAGACAAAGGATCTCATTGCTCTCTCTCCCTTCCTCTCTAAACATAACCTTGCGTGAGGATTTTAAAAGTATATATAACTGTAGAATATTAAATTAACGAATCACAATGAAGTCAGAGCTAAAAATATATTAATCTTAAATAGTTTTATCCCCCCCCAAAAAAAAACACCACATACAAATGTTTCCCCTTTATAAGCCTAGCGAATGCTATGTTGGCCACATGCAGAGTGACTGGAAGTGGAGACCTCTAGTGAGGCTACACCCTGGACAAGACCCCGAAGGAAGCCCTAAGGGCTCTGAGCCTGGCCTCATTGGCAGATGCTTCCCAGGACCCTGTTCCACATCCCTCATACAGCAGCCCCCTGTGCTCTTGCCTTGGGAAGGGGCAGGGAACTGCTTCTTGGGGCGATCATTGCCCCTTGCTTTGCTTCCCCCACAGAAGAGAGAGAAAGGCTGGGCTAGGTCTCTCTAGCAGCCCCCTAACCAAACACATGCTTGGGCCAGTGCAGGGAGGCAGCCATCACCTCCTCTCCTGACAGCAAATCAAGAGGATGCTCAGCAGACAAGGGCCCAGGGGAAGGGTGGGGACACAGAGTTGGAGCAGAATATACCCTACATTGCTGGCACCCACAGAGCAGCTGGCGGCCCCCTCCCCAGGAAGCTCTTCTCAGGGGCCTGCAGCTTCAAAGCTGAGAACCAAAGGGAGGGTGAGAGGAGGGCATTATAGCCAGAAGCCAGCGTCTCCCGGGTCACCACTCTTGGCAGCTGAACCCTAGGTCCCCCAGTGCCAATCAGCTCTCTGGTGGCCACGTCACCTCTCCCCAGGGCAACTGCATCAGCAGGAGGCATCCCCATACCCAAGATAAACTGCCATTCAGAGGCATAGCTCCAGGCCTCAGTGTGTTGGGGGTCGGTGGGAGGTGGGCTCAAGCCTCTTCTGCCTCCCTGGGTCTCACAGCACAGCCTCACAGGAGAACAGGGTGATGAGAGAATCGCTCTCCACATCTCCAATCGTCCCCTGGCCAGCAGAACACAGCGCCTGCCTTCCAATGGCACCTGTGGTCTCCAGGCAGTCAGACCCTGGCCCCAGGGGCTATTGCAGGTACCAGCTGGGACCGGCAGAGGATGGGGTCAGCTGGCAGCCAGGCAGCACTAGGGAATTGGGGGGTATGGTCCTCTCCTTGGCAGGAGGAAGCAAATGGGTGAGCAGGGCCATTTTATTCAGTTGGAAATCTGTCTGGACAGGGTTCCTCTCCCTTGGTCCTGCCCCTGGCTGGAGAGGCTGTCATCGAAGCTGTGCATGTCCCTGAGTTGGCTGCATCATGTCACCGTGTACAGCTCCTCCTGGTGGTTCTTACAGATCTGATAGTGGCAGGTGAGCTTCTGTGAGCAGGTCCAGGGCTCAGTGTGCTTGTCACGTGGTGGCAGCAGGAACGCCGTGCTTCCTGCCAGCAGCATGTGCCAGATGCTGTGGGTATAGTAATAGTTGCTGCTGGTCATCATGGAGGTGTAGATGGAAATGGCCACAGTGGCCATGGAGATGCCAGGCAGGAGATAGAAGACCCAGCGCTGCCAGGAGGTAGGGTAGCAGTGGCGCCGGTGCCCACAGCGGTACACCTGGAGAGAACCATCACGAGAGCATTGGCACAGGGGCTGCAGCTCCCACCCAGGGGCCCACCCATGGGTAGCAGGACTGTGGATGTGCAATACTCGGAAGGGGCTCAAGGGCACAGAAACCTGCCGGGTCTTCAGGCCTGGGCCTCAGCAAACGTGGGGGATTTGCCCTAGCCGGTATGGCTCAGTGGATAGAGTGTCGGCCTGCAGACTGAAGGTTCCTGGGTTTGATTCCGGCCAAGGGCACAGGCTCAGTTGCAGGCTCGATCCCTGGCCCTGGTCAGGGCATGTGGGGGAGGCAACCAATTGATGTCTCTCTCACATTGGTGTTTCTCTTTGTCTCTCCCTTTTCCTTCCACTTCTCTCAGTAAATATCAATGGAAAAATATCCTCAGGTGAGGATTAACCAAATATATATATATATATATATATATATATATATATATATATATATATATATATATATATATATATGGAGAGAGAGAGAGAGAGAGAGAGAGAGAGAGAGAGAGAGAGAGGAGAGAGAACTCAGACTCAGGACCAGGAACATGGCCAGAATCAGTGGCCAGGCTCTCCTCTCCCAGAGCAGGGGGTCTGTGGGGAGACAACACTCTCTTATTCCAGTTACCAGGAGAAGGGGTCTGGGCAAGCGCTCCTTACCCATATGGTGACCATGATCACGAAGGCAAAGAGACAAGGCCCCATCATGTTCCAGGCACCCCTGCGGTCCAGCTGTAAGGACATGGCGAACACCAGCGTGCCCAGGAGAAGCAGAACCTGAGCAAGGCACAGGGTCACAGGAACCCCAGGTCAACGTTGTCTGTGGTGGCACACGGTCCAGCAGGAGCATGTGGCCTGGGCATGCTGGTCATCCTGCTACTGGTCCACTGCCCCCCAATACCTCTGCCCGCACCCTTGGAGCTGCTGGCACACTGTTCTGCTCCACTGTAGTGAGGGAGGCACCTCTCCTCCAGATACTGATTCATCCTAAGGCACAACTTAGCCAGGCAGGACACCGGGTCACATGTCCCCATCAGCCATATGTCCCCATCAGCCACATGGCTCCAAAGTGTTCTCAGCACCAGAGACCCAGGAGCACATCTGGGGCTTCTCAGGGAGGTCTGGCCTGGGTGGGGCTCTAGGCAACCGATTTAAATAGAGCCTTGAGAGAGAAACAGGCTAGAAAGGTCCTTGCCTACCCCCGTCTTCCACCTCCTTTTCCTGGAATCCTCCAAGCAGCCAGCACTGTCCCTTCCAGCTGCCAGAGGCTTCTTCCAGAGGGAGACTGGTCATTACGAAAGACGGGAGGTCTCTAATGGCAGCAGCTGAAGCCTCTTTCTGATCTCTTTCTCAGCATGCAAGGGCCTCTGCTCCCTCAGAACCCAGACGCGGGTGTCAGGAGGTCACTCACGTATTTCAGGGCTGCCTTCAGCCGTGCCATGCAGAGGATGGTGACCCAGATGGACACTCCGGAGCCCAGGAAGTCGCAGTACTGGAGGGTGTCGTAGTTGAGGATGCACAGCACAGCCTCCCCCGGCTGGTCGCAGGCATGATAGAACTGCAGGGCAGGGTGGTGAGCGGAGGCCCAGACCTCCCCCCACTCCATCCCCAAGGGAGCAGGCAAGCCTACCGTGGAGAAAAACATGGTGTAGGCGTAGACGGAGGCCTCCACCAGGAGGCAACGGTACACAGAGAGGGCGATGGGAGCCAGGAACAGGAGGTTGCTGAGGGTGAGCAGGAGCACCGCCATCCTCTGCTGGGCTACGGTCTGGGCTGTGCTGTCGTCTGTGCAGCTCCACCCACGCCAGCCTGTGGGCAGGGCGATGCCGAGCAGGCCGAGGGTGGGCGACTGAGGCCAGACTAATGGGGGAGGCGCTTCTGAACCTCAGTGCCCACCCTCACCCACAGCCCTGCAAAAAAGTCCCTTTCTCACCGAGGAGCGGGCGAGGACAGGTATAGGTAGTGGGGCACGTGTGGGTAAGTATAGGCTGGTGTGGGCAGGGGCAGACAGCTATGAGACAGGCATGGGCAGGTGTAAAGAGGTGTGAGACAGGTATAGGAATGTGTGGGGCAGGTAGGAGGCAGGCATGGGGCAGGTATGGGACACGTGTGGGCAGGTTTGGGACAGATGTAGGCAGGTGGGAGTCAGGTATGGGACACGTCTGTGGGCGGGTGTGGGCAGAGGAGGCCACGGTCAGAGGCAGTAGCATCTCTGGGGGTGTCTTCCTGTGCTTGCCTGGGGGAGCATGTGGCAGGAGTGGGAGAGGGCACTTGCTCTTGTTCTGTGAGGGTGCTCTCAGCCTTGGCAGAGTGGATGGGCTCCGAGAGGAAGGCACAGGGCTGAGAAGTCAACAGTACTGTGTGGAGGCATCCAGGCCTGGCCCTCACCTGCCTTGCAGCTACACCCCGCATACAGGTAGCCATGTCTGCGCAGCAGGAGGCACTGGCCGTAAGGTCCACAGTCATTCAAGCAGGGCACCAAAGACAAGGCAGTCTCCACGAGGACTGAGGACTTCTCACACTCCCTGTGAGGAAGGGGCCACAGGAGGGCTGGCTGCCAAGGTCTGCTGGCCAGTCTCAGCCAGGGCTCTAGTCATGACAGGACACATGAGCCCAGAATTGAGACCCCCAGGCCCTGGGCCCTGGAAGGCAGCAGCCGTGAGACCCACAGAAGCCAAAATGCTCCTTCCTCTTCGCACCACACTGCATCCCCCTCAGGAGACTGACTGCCAGGCCTGCCCGGGGAGGGGTGGCCATGTGGAAAAGGAAAGAACTTCGTACCTCCCGGAAGGCAACTTATCCCGTGCGGCGTATAGGAAGCTGGGTCACTTTCAGGCTCAGATGCAGGCAGCCCAGTCACGGTCCTGAATGCAATGATTCCCCCACCCGGCAGCTCTGGGTGGCGCCCACCCTAGCCCCCAAGTTTACTTACTCAGGACTCTGAAGGCACACGAGTTGCAGGGAGAGGTACCAGCTGTCCGTCTCGGGGTAGGGAATGATGAGGTTGGCCTTGCGAGACACGGTGCTCAGAGCCAGGGGGTACCCCTGGAAGAAGGCTGCGGGGGGAGCGGGAAGGCCCCGTAAGAGGCGGCTGGAGAGGCTGGCGAGTCACGCAGCCAGATGCTCCCGCCCATACCTGTGGTGCAGTTGAGCGAAGTGTTGAAGCCGAGGAAGGGTGAGGCAGCGTTCACGCAGACCTTTACCAAGGTGTTGTTGGCAATCACACTCTGAAAGGGGCGGCCGTGCAGTGTCAATCCGAAGTCTGATGATGGGCGCTCTTTGTGGCTCCCACTGCCCTCCCAGGACCCTCCCCTGTAGGCCAGGCAACACCCAGCCCCTGATCCCATCCAGTCCTATTTCTAGAGACACAGCCCTCACACTGCTGACAGGGGCCTATTGAACAGGCCTCTCAGTCCTGGCTGGGGTGGCTCAGTTGGTTAGAGCTTTGTCCTGTGTAACGAAGGGTTGCGGGTTCAATTTCCAATCAAGGCTGGTACTGGTGGCAACCAACTGATGTTTCTCTCTCACCTCTATGTTTCTCTCTCTCTCTCCCTCTCCTTCCCTCTCTCTCTAGAGTCAGTGAAAAACACATCCTCAGATGAGGATTTAAAAAACAAACAAGCCTCGCCAAAACGTTTGGCTCAGTGGATAGAGAGTCAGCCTGGGGACTGAAAGGTCCCGGGTTCGATTCCTGTCAAGGGCATGTACCTTGGTTGCGGGCACATCCCCAGTAGGGGGTGTGCAAGAGGCAGCTGATCAATGATTCTCTCTCATTAATGTTTCTAACTCTCTATCCCTCTCTCTTCCTCTCTGTAAAAAAAAACAACAATTAAATATATTTTTAAAAAAGAAACAAACAAACAAAAAAAACAAGCCTCGCTTTCTGTAAGTGGTGCTCCTACTCTGGCCCAAGGCCCACCATTGGGGTCACTCTGTTACCGGAAATGCCACCCCAGCCCAGTGTCAATGATCACGTCAGGGCAGGAAGGCCGAGCAGCATCATTCATCCTGGGAGCATCTGAGGCCTGAGCTGAGCTGGGCCATGAGGTCTCACCTTGTTGGCCCACAGGGAGATGGTGAGGGAGCCCCCGCTGTCCATGCCCGTGCTAAGGTGCAGCTGCATCACCGAAGGCATGTCTGACTGCACCAGCACGGAGGCCCTGTCCAGGGGCCTGAAGTGCACAGACAGCACGTCCACGTCTTCCCGCATGACCTGGTAGCTCAGAAGGCAGAAGGGGCCACCCCCCGCAGTGCCGCTCCTGCCAAGGTCCTGGTAGCCGGGGCTTGGGGGCAGCAGGCCGCTGGAAGTGTTTCGGCTCTGGTTTGGACTGTTCTGCAGGAGGTGGTGGAAGTTTACGATCCAAGGCCTGCAGACTGACAGGAGGACGAGG